CCCAGTGAGTATCCCGCCTAATCCCGAAGGGGTAGAGACGAGATGGTCAACTTTGACACTTACTAATAGTCCAATGATTATCTATCTTTAATAATTATACTAAACAGTGGACTTATTTTATAAACATGTTTCTAACCCAGATAGAGGAAACAAGTAAACATATAATTCTTTCATGGAAAGTTTCCTTAGATTTCTTGTTATTATTAACAATATAATCTCGAGCCGTAGTGTGGCATAAAACAACTCAAATGAGTCCAGGCAGCAATACAAGCATGCCAAGGCGACGGCCCGATCCAACAGAAATAAATGTGCACTTGGCCAGGGTCGACAGCGCGCCTATAGATGCATCTATTAATCTACCGAGGCGTACGGCCCGTTCCAAAATAAACATACGCAGACAGACAATCAGTCAAACAGTCAACATGGAGCAAATATCCAAGAAAGGTCAATTCCTATTAAAATTTTGAGAAAACAAAGCTTAAGTCATTTTTTTAGAAATCCATTTATTAATTTAATAAGGTTTAAGCATTTCAAGCCATCAATAGGTTCACAAATAATCCAAGTATAACATGCTTTTGGGCCCTAGACTACCCGGACAATAGCATAATAGTAGCTACGCACGGACTCTCGTCACCTCGTGCGTACGTAGCCCCCACAATTAGGAGCACCTAATCAATTTAACTCACCTATGGGGTAATTTCCCCCTCACAAGATTAGAAAGGAGACTCTCCTCGCTCCGAAGACTCATAACCGGCATTCTTCATCCTTCTGAAGACTTGAACCAACGCACCATGCTCCAAACTAGCCAACGATCAAAAAAATCCATTAATATATGCTCAATAATACTTTACAACCCCATTTGAAACAATTCCTAACCCCGAACGAAATGTTGACCAAAATGCCGTCGGGCCCACGTGCCCGGAAATCCGAAATTTCTCGAAGATAAAGTTTACCCATGACCTTAGAAACTCAAATATATGATTTTCCCTTAACTCCATACTCAAACTCGCGGTCCAAATCCAAAAATACTAATTTTCTAGGTCTTCCTCTAACCCTCAATTTTCTACCCATTTTCATACAAAAATCCATACATAATCAATGCATTTAACTCATAATAGGCGGGATTAGCTTACCTTATCATTGATGATGAAATCCTCTCTTGAAGCTCTCCCAAAAATCGCCCAAGCCTAGAAAATATGAGAGAAATGGGCCAAATCCCGATTTAAAATAACCTTCAGCCTCTAGGTCTTTACGCACCTGCGGCTCCCAGACCGCTTCTGCGGTTCCACAGGTGCGGTCCCAATACCGCATCTGCGGTCTTCACCAGGCCTCCCCCTTTCCGCTTTTGCGCTCCATCTTCCGCAGGTGCGGTCCCGCATCTGCGGTCCCAGCTCCCAGCACCTCCAACTGCTTCTGCGGTCCCTTCCTCGCTTCTGTGGGGCCGCTTCTGTGGTCCCATTTCCACAGAAGCGGAAATACCAGCAACCAGACCCTTCAGCCTTCTTCAAAATTCCATTTTTGATCCGTCAACCACCCGGAATCCACCCGAGGCCCTCGGGACCTCAACCAATCATACCAACCAGTCCCAAAACACATTACGGACTTGCTCGATGCCTCAAATCATATTAATAAATCATGAATTACACCTCAATTCAATCTTTATGAACTTTGAAGTTTCCAACTTCTATTTCCGATGCCGAAACCTATCACATCACGTCCGATTGACTTTAAATTTTGCACACAAGTCATATTTGACATTACGGACCTACTAAAACTTCCGGAATCGGATTCCGACCCCGATATCAAAAAGTCTACTTCCGGTCAAACTTCTCAAAAACCTTCAAACTTCTATCTTTAGCCGATTGCTTTCAAATGACCTACGGACCTCCGAATTCACTTCCGATCGCGCTCCCAACTCCAGAATCACCATACGGAGGTACTCCCAGTCTCAGAATTCCAAACGGACATCGATAACACTGAATTTCACTTCAAGCCAAACTTAAGAAAATTCTTCCAAAATGCTAACTTCCACAATAGGCGCCAAAACGCTCCCGGGTTATCCAAAACCCGAACCGGGCATACGCCCAAGTCAGAAATCATCATACGAACCTACAGGAACCTTCGGATCCCGATTCCGAGGTCATTTACTCAAAATTCTGATCCTAGTTCATTTTTTCAACTTTAAGCTTTCAAATTGAGAATTCTCTTCCCGAATCAACTCTGAACTTCCCGAAATTCAATTCCGACCATGCGTACAAGTCATAACACCTGAAATGAAGTTGCTCATGGACTGAGACTATTGAAGACGCGCTAGAGCTCAAAACGACCGGTCGGATCGTTACACAAGGTACCTAAATCAGTCTCAATGTCTAACAATAAGAGATTGAACCATTTCTGGGATCCAGATTTTCAAAGCCTTCTCTTTATCTAGGGTGTTTCAAAGTTCCAAGGAATTTCAGGAATTCCAGGCATTGCTTACACCCAAGATACCCATTAGAATTAGATACAGTGCAGTGTGAAAATACCAGCCCTCAGGTGTCCAAGTTCAGAGGGAGCTCCAGGGTCCCAAGGCAAGGCTCACAAGAGAGGGGCAGAACTTAATTGCTAAGAATGAGTGTAAGTGCAAAAGGGGTTGGGGAGCCATAACAGATTGGTGGTCATACCCAGCCATAGGGCTTCAAACAACCAAACAAACAACCAAAGAAACAAACTTAGGACTTCAGCAGAAACTTCGAATGCTTTTTGAGAAAACTTAGAGGTATTTGAGAAAGAGAAGTAGTGAGTATGATGTGTGTGTGTTCGTTATAACTTGTCTTTTTGAAAGAGGAGAGGGAGAGGTATTTATAGATTTTGAAAAACGAGTAAAGAGTAGAGTAAAAACACAAATATGGGCATGATCACAAATCAGAATCAATTAGTATAAGTCTTCCCTTTAATTAGGGGATTCTTATTCAAACGGATACTAACATGATCCACATAAGGAAAGAAGAATCAATCATATAGCAGAATAGCTTGTTGCCATAAAAGAAACAGTAAAGTCATACAACAGGTAAATAAGTCTAAGTACAAAACCTTAAGTTATTTTTGGAAAGATTCAGTGAGGCAAATTAAAGGAAGAGAATCAATTAACCCTTGACAGGCTAGTAAAGTCAGAATTTCATGGAAGTAAAAGTTTGAAATCAGTTTCGGGCTTAAATCACAGGAAAGACTCAGTATATAAAGCATGCACAAATAATAGACATGTGAGGCCAAGCTATGGCAAAAGGAATATTGTATAGTAGTAGCATAGAGTAGACATTCAAGCATGCTAGTTAGGTTCAGTGTATAGAGAGAGAAAGAATCAAGGCGTGCAAAGAGTTGAGCAAGAACTCAGAACACATAGAGAAACATACAAGGATCAAGTCGAATAGTTTCAAGCAGACAAATTGCACAAACAGACCCAAAGGGCTCGAATAGTCCCCAAAGAGGAACTAGGTTTTTTCCAAAATCAGTTGAGTCTAGACGACAATAAACAGGTGAAGCAAAAGCAAATTCATAGTCCCCAGTGAAACCCTCAAAGATTTAGGGTTTCAACTATTAATCAGTAAAGCAAAATAACCAGGCTCAGGAACTCAAATAGATCCCCAAAATAATAGGGGTTTTGAACATCAAATAAACTTAGAGAAGATAGGCATGAAAATCGAATAGAACCGTAACAAACAGACTAAAACAAAATCACAAAATTAGGGTTTTCAACATGCTTACACAGATAAAGAAAGTAACATAAGCAAAGTACAGAAACATGCTAAAACAAAAGAAGCAATTCCAAACAACTTAAACAAAACCCTAGTTAAAAGGTCAAAGAACTTTGAAGGCAAAAATTGGGGAAACTTTGAGAAACATGTTCAGAAAACTCAAACACACATAGATCTAGGGCAGATCTAAAAATAAATCGAAGGAACCTTAGAGTTAGGGTTTCGAAGAACCCAGAGAAGGTGAGAAAGGCTTTGAAAACTCTCGATCTAAGCAGGATAGTCACAGATCTGACGCGAACGGCCATGGCTGGCCGAAGAAAGGTCAAGGATGACCGGAGAAAGACCATGAACGAAAGTTAGGCAAAGACTGGACCAGATTCCCTCGAGGTATGGCTGGGAAACCATGGAAACGAACACCCAGGAGCCACAACAAGCCATTAATCATCATCCAACGGCCATAGGAGGCCATGAATTAGGGTTTCAGGTGAGGCGGCGACTAGGGTTTGAGAGGCGAGTTGAGAGAAGAGAGGAATCAAGGACGGCATCTAAAGAGGAATGGGGTAGGGTTTGGGGTCGTTTAGAGTTAAAAAAGGAAAGGGGACGCCTGGGCCGTTGATCATAATGATCAACGACTCAGATTAAAAGGAAACGGGTCGGTTCGGTTAAATGGGTATTGGGTCGGGTGGATTAAGTAATTGGGCTGGGGTGGTTTGGGTTTAATTTGGGGTTGAAATGGGGTGCTAAATTGGCTAAAATTGAAATGCAATAAAGGTCAATCCGTAAATAGCCACTTTTCCCTTTTATTTTTATAAAAAATAGTAATACAATTTTAAAAGCAAATTAAGAGTACTGAGTAAATAACTATTACACAAACATTAATTAGAAAAATACTGGGACTAATTTTATAAGTATAAAACGCTATGAATTAAAAGATAGGCCATAATTGCAATTATATGCAATTTTACTTTAAAAATGCCAAATAAATTTGTAAAAATATGCAATATTACTTTAATTATATTTTGGTATAAATATGAGGATAAAATAAGTTATTCACCAAAATGATAATTTTTGGGAATAATTTTGGATTTTTGTGGTATAAAATAGGCAATAAACTGGTTTAAAAAATTATTAAAAATACCAAAACTCATGAGTGTGCTTATATATGCACCTATATAATATTTTGAAAGTATTTTGGGTACAAAAATACATAGGAAAAAAATTGGGTATCAACAGGGGGCAGTGCTGGGACAGCGGAAAGACAAGCTAATGCCCCCAATTTACTATGCCAATAGAACGTTGAGTGGAGCCCAACTAAACTACACTGTGACTGAAAAGGAGATGCTGGCTGTGGTGTTTGCATTCGACAAGTTCAGATCATACCTTATTGGCTATAAGGTAATTGTATATACTGATCATGCAGCTCTCTGGTACTTGATTGAGAAGAAGGAGTCCAAACTGCGCCTGATTCATTGGGTGTTGTTACTGCAAGAGTTCGACCTTGAAATTCCTGACCGTAAGGGCACAGAAAATCAAGTCGCTGATCATCTATCACGATTTGAAAGAGATAAAAACTCAGTTGAGGTTAAAGATATTCTGGAAACCTTTCCAGACGAGCATCTACTCGCTACAAGTCTTGAGGAAGGTCCACGGTATGCAGACTTTGCAAATTACATGGCAAGTGGTATAGTTCCTTATGACCTTTCCTCTGTACAAAAGAATTTTTTTTATCATGACTGTCGCATGTATTACTGGGATGAACCTTATCTGTTCAGAACATGTGTTGACAATATGATCCGGAGGTGTGTCCCCGAGATAGAACAATCTTCTGTTTTGCAGGCATGTCACGCATTGGCGTATGACGGGCATTTTGGAGGAGTCACGACAGCTGCGAAAGTGATAGAAGTCGGGTTCTACTGTCCAACAGTGTTTAAGGATACACATCAATGGGTTAAGGGTTGTACTGAATGTCAACGAACCGGGAACATTTCCCGTCGCCATGAGATGCCCATGAACTGAATTCAAGAGGTTGAAGTGTTCGATGTTTGTGGAAGCTGCAACATTTCCCACCAATGATGCAAGAGTGGTGGTGGGGTTTTTGAATAAGGACATATTCACCCATTTTGGGACCCCGAGAGCTATTATCAGTGATGGGGGCACTCACTATTGCAATCGATCTTTCGAGAAGTTGCTAGCGAAGTACGATGTGCGCCACAAGGTGGCAACACCATATCATCCTCAGACCAATGGATAGGTCGAAGTGTCTAATAGAGAGATAAAGAGTGTACTGACCAAAACTGTGAATACCTTAAGAACGGATTGGGCGAAAAAGCTAGATGATGCACTCTGGGCCTATAGAATTGCGTTTAAAACACGAATTGGTATGTCACCATTTAAGTTGGTGTTCGGGAAAGCCTGCCACTTGCCAGTGGAACTTGAAGATAGAGCTTGGTGGGCAATGAAATAGGTGAATCTAGACATTGAGGCTGCGGGCGCAACGAGAGTCACAGAATTGCATGAGCTCAACGAGTTTCGATATCTTGCTTTTGAGAGCACAAGGTTGTACAAGGAAAGAATGAAGAGATTGCACGACAAGAATATTGTTGAGCTACATTCATCCCCGGGGACATGGTATTGCGCTATAACTCAAGATTAAGGCTATTTCCGAGTAAGCTCAAGTCACGATGGTCTGTCCCATTTCGAGTGGTCGAAGTATTCCCTTTAGGGGCTGTAGAGATTGCCTCAGTGAAAGACTCTCATACATTTAGAGCCAATGGGCAGAGGTTGAAACTATATGTGGGCATGAATGAGCCAAAGGAAGTGTCAGAGATCCACCTGACTGAACCTCAAAGGTCGACCAAGCCTTAAATGCGATTATTTGTATCGTGCCGCGATGTTAAATCAGGCACTACAGGGGAGGCAACCCATTGATTTGTTGTAATCGTCGTGCCACGATATTAACTAAGGCGCTGGTTGGGAGGCAACCCAATAATAGTAGTAGTTGTTAACTTTGAGTTTGGGAAGTACTAACTAATGCAGGTAAGCTTGGGCATGTGACAAGTCCATCGGAAGCGGAAACAACGGGTGAAAAAAATGAAAACATTCGTGCCCAGGAGCGCGCTCGCGCTACAGGCCGCGCATATGGGCAAGTGTTCTGCCTCAGCTCTCTAACAATAGCACGAACGTGCTACTAACCGTGCTCGTGACCGCGCTATTGGCCGTACTAGCGACCGCGCATATGGCCAAGTGTTCTGCCTGCACTAGCGCGGCCGTGCTTGTACCGCGCTAGTCCCGCCCATCTGACGCATTTTTTTCCTTTAACTTAATAATAATTTTTTTTTATTTTTTATTTTAATTTATTTTCCTTTATTCTATTCCCCCTTCCCATCTAATTAATACCCTCCTCTTCACTCTTCACTCAAAAAAATCCCCAACGCTGAAAACATAAGTCCCCTCAACCCTAACTCCCTTCTTCTTCTATTCCATTTTCTTCCAACTCCCTCTTCTTCAAATTCCCAACAAAACTTCCCCAAGTCTCAAGACTTGCTCTCCCCTACTCTTCTTCTCTTCTCCCCACAGTCTTTCACTACAGGTATGGTTCTTTTTGCCCTTTTTTCTTTTTTTTCCACAATTTCATTTTTAATTTTTGTATTTATGTATTTGTTTTTTCTTTTCTTTTCTTAGAAGAAATTTTTCGCATATGTTGTAGTAATTGTGGGTGGTAAGGTTGGTGGAGTTGTACTTGAATTAGTATGTGATTTTGGGGACATTGTGGTGGTATTGGGGTTGTAACATGTTTGAAATGGGGTGTGAGTATATAATTTCCACAAGTTGTTTGTTTAAATGCCTCACCGAATATAATTGAGTAATTGTGACCAATTGTGCCTGTGAAGTCTGAGTAACCGCATTGAGTCACAAGTTTTTTGGGTTGTGCTAATGTTATTCCTTTTCCCAGGTACTATGGCTCCATCTAGGAAATGCCGCACCATAGGTGCCTCTTCCAGAAGTCACGCTGGATCGTCCAAGGCGTGCGGGTCCGCTCTTGCTCGTCCCTTTGATAGTAGCAGGTTCGTATCTGCCAAGGCTTAGGACCGACGGATAAGTCCCCTAAGAAGCCGATACCGGAAAGGGGCATAGCTATAGGGTCAGTTCAACTGGGCTGCTCTCATATTTATACTGAGCTGGTAAGGTGGGGGTTACAAACCTTCATTAACGAGTCAGGCGAGAGGAATGTGATGGTTGTCCGCGAGTTTTACGCCAATATGAAAGAGTATGTGAATGGCATAATTACTGTGCGCAGAAAGGCGGTGGATGCCTCTGTGGAGGATATAGGGACGATGTACCAGCTGCCCCCTCATGTGGATCCATATGATGACTATTATGAGGGGTATGGCAGATCAAACACGCAGTGGGCGATGTTCTTTGAAACAATCTGTGTACCCGGAAAGGATATTGCCTGGATGAAGTATGGTCAGAAGTTTCACTCCACGGCACTAACCTTTGAAGGGAAGTGCTAGTTGTATATTATCAATAACCGTCTGATCCCGTCTTCCAACACTACAAAGGCGAATGGTCCTGGTGCGGCTCAAATTTGGTGCTTTATTAATGGTCACAACTTTGACGTGGCCAAAGTGATGCATGAGGAGATGTTCACCCGTTTTCCGGTGAAGAGGTATGGTTTCTTCTTCCCCTCTATGGTTACTAAACTTTACCAGGCAGCTCTGGTGCCAGAAAATCTGGATGTGGATGGGAGAGTGCCAAGAGACCACAAGTTCCGAGCAGATAAGGTCACTACTAGTAAGGAGCCGCTGGAAGCAAGTGGTGAGTTTGATGACTCTGAGGATGAGGAGGCTCAACAGGAGGATGTCGGGGCCGAGCCACAGGCCCATGAGCAAATTGCAGCAGCTGCAGCGCCATCTACGACTGCAGCACCATCTGGAGCTGCTCGGGTTACCCGGTTCACAGCTTTGGAGTAGGAGGTGGCTAGATTACGTACCTCGGTTGCTGACTTGGGTACACGTGTTGACACGCTGGCTGCCCACCAGGTGAAATCGGAGAAGAAAATATTTGTTTGGCTGAGAGCTCTGGTTCGTGCTTGCAATTTGACGTTTTGAACCCAGACACGATCTCCGATTAAGAGTGATATTTCAGGGAAGTTCCTTTACCCAACCGTTCTTTATTTTGTATGCCACGAGAACATGTCTTCTTTTTAAGTGTGGGGTGGGGGATACTTCAATGTATGTATGTATATGTAGCAATTTGACTGTTTGATGTTTCTTTGTTTTTTTTGATTGTTTTTGGCGGTTTTAGTAATAGTCAAATTAGGTGAGTTTAAAGTAGGTAAGTTGACTTGTCCCGATGGCAGATCTCTTTCAACAGGTTTCTTGAGGGTCTAAGTTGACGTAAAAATCTAAAAAAAAATAGGAGTATGGGGACTCTTCCTGTTGACGGATCTTTTAGACAGTTTTCTTGAGGGAAGTAAGTCTAATAAAAAATCCAAAAAAAAAAGATTTATTTTTGTTTTAGGTAGTGTAGAACTCCCCCTTAGTTTTTCTTTGCCACAGTTCTTTTCCAACGGTTTTGCTTGAACCGGGTGTAGTTAGTTTTTGTTTATTTTGTTTTTAGTTTTTTGTTAGTTTTGATGGGCTACGAGCTGAAATAGATAGAGAAACCCTTGGCGTTTATAACCTGAACACAGTAGACACTAGAGTGTATCGCTTAGTCTCAATGGTTGATTCTTGCTAAAGTGCCTTAAATATTATGTTTGTAATTGACTTGAATACTCAAACAAGAGTGTCTTGATAAGCCAATCTGGAGTGAGTCATGTGCCATGTGTGTGTGAGTTGTACTGTATTCTATGCTCTACATTTGATGACTAGAACTTGCCTCGTGTGTTTGCAAAGCGAAATAGTAGCTTTATTCAGTCTTAGAAGTTATATAGGCATTTCTTTGTTAAGCCAGATATATAAAGTAGACCCACCTAAATGTAATACATCGTAGTCAACCCCGTTAAGTGTATAATCATGTTTCTTTGGCAACCACATTGCGAACCTTACCCAATTGTTTGAATGGCCCATCTATTTGAAACCCTTTACCTCCCATGAGCACTTGAATGGTCTTGAAATATGCAAAAGCTAAAGTGTGGGGTGGTGATTTGGTTTTTGAGTGGAACCGTTGAAATAGAGGAAAGGTGCAATTTTTGGAAAAGTAAAAGAATAAGCACCACTTAAAAAAAAAAGAAAAAAAAAGAATGAGTGAATGTAGTAGTTGATAAGCGGTGACTTGATACAATTGCACTTAATGGAGTGGGATGTTATAAATAAAAATGTGGTGGAATGTCTAGTTGACATAAGTATGGTTTTGAAGGTTAATGCGATTGTATTAAAAGTGCTTAGGGAGGTTAGTCACTATATCCAAATATATCCTACCCGTCCCTTAGACTACATTACAAACAAGTGAAGTCCTAATTGATCTTAGACTGAATGGGCTCGATTAGTAGAGTAGTACACTATGGGCAACCCTATGGTGCATCTTTGTGGCATGTGAATGTTCTTTTTGAGAGTGAGCAGATTTTGTCTATCTGAGTTCCTAATTGTTCTTAATATTATTATTTGTGGAACTACTCTCTTGTGTGATGTGAGGGCCTATGATTCACAAAGGAAAGGTAAGTATTGCCTTCTATATAGAGTAATTTGAGTAAGTACGAATATTGCATGGCACGTGAGAGTCGACTTTTGAGGCAAAGATTGTTCACTACTAGGCGCAACTTTGGTAAGTTGTTCTTGGTGTGATACGTTAGGGGAAAATCTTAGTGAAGGAACCTTTATAGAGTGTGGTGGATTGCTCGAGGACTAGCAATAATTTAAGTGTGGGGTGTTGATAATAGGCTAGATTCATGTAATTTGGCAACTGTTTATGCCCCAGCTTGACTATGTTTCATTGTTATAGGATAATCAAATGATGATAAATTGGCTCTAATTGTGAATTTCATGTTTTGCAGGAGCGAATTGCGCGTATGAGGACTTAGAACTGTATTTGGAACTAAATTGAAGAAAGGGAAGCCCCTCGGAGCTAAGTACGTTGGAAGAAGAGAGAAGAATGGCTGAAATGATGACCCAGACTGGCGCTCCCACTAGCGCGACCGCGCTAGCCTAGAAGTTCGAGGCAAAATGTTATGCCATATGCGCGGTCAGTAGCGCGACCGCGCTAGTCCAGTTCGGAAAAATATAGGTCGGGGTAAACTTGAAAGTTTGG